GTGCTTACTATCTGTACGCTTGCAGATTTTTACCAAGCTTCAACAATAAACTATCTCTATAACTGGTGTTCAGGCTTTTGAATAATCTCGAGTAAACCCGTAATTCTACTAGGAGATTTAGCCTGCAGTAAATATTCAGTTAGTGGGATATTATTTATTTACTGGAGTCATATATAGAGGAATTAATCTTCTACAAACTACACCAACACACAAATTTTGTTTTACGTGGCGCTTTCTATTTTTAGTTGTTGTACGAGATTTTGATATAAAATAATTGATACTAGTTACCAGAAAAATACTATAACATAATTAGCTGACATATAGGTAACCATGTAGCCTGTTTATTGTAACCGTAGTGCACACAAACAGCGATTTCACTGTTTCGTTCTCTATCGTCTTCATTGGAAGAAGTAACTGGGTCTCACTTATACTAACTGCACATCTAATCGCGTACTGTTGATTAGTTATGTCTTAAACAAATCTTTGCTTGCATACTTATTTACCATAAAATGATCCATGCATATGTTTGTACTTGATTTTGGTGGGGTTTTTTCTCATTGAGTAGATGACAGTGCCAGTCGAAGTTCTTTCAGTAGCAAAGCTAGACGCATGTCACGTAAGCCAACGTATTGTATAGCTCGCACAACGAACAGTTCCGTCTCTGTTATTTCAAAAACACATCTTCCACCTGGATCTCATAATCATACTCGTTCATTATCTGCTACTGAATCTAGAGGAACAGTTGGTGTTGTTGAATCTATTCGTATCAACACATCAAGTGTAGAATCTATCTTACCACCAAGGAAAGCTCGCTCACATAAACGTGTTATGATGGTTGATGATAGTGAAGAAGAGGATGAAGAAGACTCTGATAATGACGCAGCCGATGATGATCCTGATGATGAAGACTTTTAAACAATCATTTATGAAACGTTTACTCTATAAACCAACACTTTTGCTTCGTGAAATTGCCCTTCATTCAACTTGGTTTTTTTTCTCTAATTGTTTAAATACATTAGGTATGTTATGTTGTAATTTATCACCTTTTTCTCTCAAAATATAAACATTGTTGTTATATGTTAAGTGGAAATATAGTACGTTTCGTAATCCTTACATTCTTATAATAGTCCATTAATATTTTTTCCGTAGTGTCAGTTATTCCTAAACTTGACTTTTCGTTATCCATCGCTGTAACGTAAAATAATTATCACAAACGAAGGTTGACAGTGAGGCTAAAGGTGACCTGATTCTAATGTTTACATAATTATTATTTTATTGTTCTAGTCTTACTGAATAAATGTTAGGAGTTTGATTTGCAACATTTTTAGCAGCTCACTGCTTAAATTATTGTTAACAAGAGTCACCAGTCTCGCTCAATTACTTAGTTGTTTTTGTGGCTTTAATAAACGATTAAAATGTTCACAAGGCTGTGGTTTCAGATCTTAATATATACCAGCTATAATAAGTATGGTAGCTGCTTAGTGTGAGTTGTATCCAATTTAACGAAGTCTGTGTTTTTAGTTCAACCCTATTTATTTCGAAAACGATTCCCAGCTTGTCCAACCACACTGCATTAATTTATAGTATAAAAGATGTTGGTTTTAATCAAAAATAGTAATCATGGGCAAAGCACCATGTCCAAGATTAGTATCAGTGTATGGACGACGATCTACATCAGCATTTACTATAGACACTAGTGCCTACTATTGTTTAGATACTTACTTTTCAGTCATATAGATTGAGTAACATCTGAATACGTTGTATATCATCACAGTGAAACCAATCACGTTACACTGTACTTCGTCATTAAAAGTACCCAAATGTCTTGGATGGCAAATGATGGGATTAGGTAACCTTGCCAAATCCAAATAATGGACAAGAACGATGAGTGTAGATTATTATATATATTGTCCATGGTGTTAGACGTTAGAGGGTTTTTCAGTGATACCACGTTTTCAAAGTAGAGTTTGCACAAACGCCTTTCTAATTGTGTTCTAGCGTTTAGTAAATTGTTTGTACCTAGAAATAGGAATGTTTCAGATTTATCGGTTGACCTACACAAACGCTCTCGGGAGATCGGTAGCAAATTGAAATATTTCACATGTAACGATTCCTGTGGCGAAGATATTACAGATCTATAATGTCCCATTGATGTAAGTCATTTCTTATAAATTTTTTCAGCATATATTTCTAAGGAATTTGATGAGACTGGGTAAATAGCGGTATCTTATACAACAGGTATTTGACGACGTTGTCTTTACTACTTTCCGGACATATTCCAATCAGAATTTCCAAACGGTATGGCTAACTTTAGGTTAAACGTGTTGAGGACACTGTCCCAGGTCTACAAAAACATCGCTCCAAACTACACATTGCAGCCTTCAACGTACGTACCCTATGTCAAATTTGTCAACAGGCCTTCTTGGCTAAGACCCTAGAATCTCGTACAATTGATGTATGCTGAGTCTACGAAACACGCATACAGGATCCTAGTGTGGTCAATCACTTGACCTCACGTTGCCAAAATGGACAGTCAACGAGATAAACCCTCTGTGTATGTGGCGACCCGATGGCTAGTTCTCGTGGACAGGCGGGTGTAGGCATAGTACGAGGGCAGAACAGGTACTTCTAGAATCGATCTCTGTTAACAGTTGCTAACGTACTGTTCGGCTAAATGGCTCTGTAAGAACTTGGAAGGATAGAGACACACGTCGTCGCCTGTTGGTAGACGCAGACAACTTGGTTGAGGTCCGCGTGACTATCGTAACCAATAGTTGGAGACTCTGGGTGACATGGCTCAGAATCGATCACAGTGGCGTAGGTTTATACACTCTCTGTCTTCCCTTAAACCTTGAGATTAAGATTGCTTCATATCTGTCTTCCTGTACTATATCCTTATGTACCTTTTTTATATACTACTACCACTTAATTAACTACTATGAATTCTGTGTTCATCTTGTCGTGCTGGTAGGTGTGGCATTTTGGACCGGTGCATATATGTGGCTGGTCCTACGTTGTAGCTGACTGACTGACTTACGTTCAATTCTATTAATGTTTCGGTCACCTACACACAACCTTGCAAAATCGCTCACAAAAGTATAAATCCCTATTCGAAATCAATTTTGTAAGTATTCCTTGATTGACTTATTTGAATTAATTAAATACTTTAAGGACATTAATATAAAAACAGAGACAATTCGCTACACTTTATTTACAAATATACCTCTTGGGAAAACTACTGATATTTTATGGACTATTATTAATGGCTTTATTCAATATTATAATCTGGTACAATATAGAATTCTCAGCACGAGTTATTTCAACAAGTTTTTTTACCAAAAAAGAAACAAAACAAACAAAAAAACAGAACAGAAATATAAAAAATGGTTTAGGAAAATCTGAGTTTATACAAATTATCAAATTTGAAACATGCTTAAGAATACAGGTTATTTACTAGGTCAACTCTAACAGCCTGTTCGTCACAAAGTAAATTTGCAAGGTATTACAGAACTTTTATAGACTTGATTGCGTGTATGGATTTTAATGTATTTACGTCTCGTTCTACCAGAAGATATACAAGGAGAAAGATATGAATGAAGCAGATGGTTAGTATCCGATAAGATAACACCTGCTAAGAGTATGGAAGACTTAAGATGTCTATCCACAAGCATATTAACAATGATTTCAAAAGATTCACCACATACCTTGCAAACTACCTTCAGCACTCTACGCAAAATAGCAAAGTCTTTTCTCAAAAGCCCGGGAAGGAATAATGGAGAACAATATAAAATAATAGGTAATATGCAGGAATTTACAAATTGTAAGAGTAAATGGCGAGTAATCCCAAAAGCATGCAGCTTCTTTATGTAGTATGGCAAACGGTAAGCTTTTTTCGATAACAGTAAAACATGAGAAGACCAAGAAAGATTAGAGGAAAAAGTAACACCAAGATATTTGACCTTCGACACTATATCTCATTCAATAACCTTCCAAGAACAACTAACTTCCTTTTCCAGACATAATGATTAATAGGACAGATGATAGTTCCATCCAACGTTCTGTATACCGAAAGCCGACATGGACAGGGCAATATCTTAATTTACATAGTCACAGCCCAACTCATTACAAACGAGGATTAATGAAGGGCTTATTCAATAGAATCAATCGTACTCGTACTAGGGATACTATTGAAGTAGAGACGAAGCTCTTAACTGTGATACGTCAATGACTAATGGTTATTCATTGAAGTTCATAAACCGCTGGAAGGGTTGCAATACAATTAGACCTATGACGCTTCTGGCACCCAAAAAGCAAGTTTTCTATTATGTTACCATTTAGAGGCGACTCAAATAGTCTCATGTTGAAACGGAGACTGAACTTAGCCGTCAACATGACATTTTATGCAGCCCACCTTGTCATTATTGAAAAGACAAGGTCTATGTTTCACCAAAAACCCAAACAGCACGTAAGCGTTTGTTTCACATCCCATTGTGTCTATTTATTTTTATTTATTTAAACACATACATATTGGTACAAAGGGACACCAAATATATATGCGCCACAAAAATCTCATTAGATTTGCGTGAGGGCTGTGATACTGCCCAGGTGCCTAAACTGAAGCATGTGGTTTTATTAGGGGGGCACACCCGGAGCCTTTGACCTAAAGGTCTAACTCACAAGGCAGTGGAGCATCGTGAGGAGATGCAGTCCCATGGTAGCTGGTGACCAACAATTGGTTCATACGCCATTTGATTCCTCAAGATACTGGAACCCATGTGCACCACTGGTTTGGAGTCAGGGTTTTCCGACTCCCCTAGGTGGACTTTCAGTGTCCAACGACCCGGTTAAAGCGCCGGACATTCGCTTTTTGTCCTCTCACTTTCGTGAACAACACCCTCGCCACGAGAAGGCAGTGAGTAGGACATCCCTGGCAGAGGCTATATACGCGTGGCCATGTGAGAGCATTTCGAGAGGGAGAGCGGACTTTCCCTACTCTCGGCCGTACCAGGGCATTTGGGGGCTTTGTGTCCATCAATTTACATGTATGTGCGGAAACACGTACATAGGGAGGAGCAATCGTGGTCTGCAATTAAGGGTGGGGGAACACATACGCAAATGGGTGAAGAAACAAATGAATTCCAACGGTCAAATAAAATCACAGGATAAACAGACATCTTCCTCCATTGAGAAACATTTGGTTGAGATCGGTCATAAGGTTGACACTTGTAGTGTTGTACGAAATAAATATTATTTATTCGTGACGGTTAGCAAGTTACTTTTACCTTATAAGTTATGTATTTATCCATGATAAGACAGTACAAATAGGAATTCTAATTAATAATCAGTAAAACAAAAGTGAACAGCCAAAATTATTAGTAGCCTATTTTTTTCAATGGGAGTTGCTTTTACAGATGTATATAACTTTCAAAATAGAATAACTGTAAGTAAAGAATAAATTAAACTAGGAGAAATAGTAAGGTACAGCACATATCAGTGAATCAAACTAAGGTTTGAATAATATCCGTATTCACTTTCGAAAGGATTAAGTTATCAAATTCATCATCTCGTCGAGAGGATGTATTGTTACGCTTCAATAACAAAGAAAGAGGATCACCATCGAGCAAAAGATGCGGATAGTCTCCTAACAAACTACAAACGTACTTCAAGAAAGAACATGCAGCAACTTCACTTACACATCGTGAGTCCACTGACAATGTTAGCGTTATATCGGTTGAAAAAGTTATTTCATTTTCTGTACATGATGTTGAGATACAAGCCTCTGGCAAATCAGTTCCAACAGCTAAAATAGCTACTTGAGGATGATTCACAATAGTGGTGAACTCTCGAATATCGTAGATTCCAAGATTAAAGATTCTGTTAAGAAAAGAAAGATGGATAAATTTACGAAATTTGCGTAACACTAACTCACGAAGTCGTGCATGGACTATCTTGTATAAAATAAAGGGCTCATGAGTAGCGAACCGGATTATTCATAAAACTTATACAAATTCCGGGTTCCCCAATACATACCAACGAAAGGCTGAGTGATATATAGTGTTTTATTTTTACTATTTTTTAAAGTTGGAAATCTAAACAATTCATGAGGTATTTAGTACTGAAATTAGTGATGAATTTGTAATGCAAGTAAGGAAGATTTACTTTTAACTAAAATGGTTTTAGTGCCTAAAACTATGAATATCTGTACCTCTTAATATTTAAGGTTGATATTAATTTCACAGTTGGTCATTCCTAATACTTTACTTTCGTGTTGCGCTGAGCCTAGGTGTTTGTAATATCTCTAATAAAGCTTTGGAAAACTAATTTAATGACTTTAGGCGAAGTTGAGTTACAACGCTCAGCTCTTAATAAGTTAACCTTACCAGTAACAGTGGCCGCTGGATGATTTAGAAATTGCACTGAGTTTTAATTTAAAATAATTGGAATCTTCCAGGATTTGGATGAATTATTTCTCTATCTTTATTAATGGAAATTTAATGAATTATATTAACAAACACTGCTTCATATTTTAATGCGTATGGTTGTTGAAAATTTAAGGATTATGGTTTACTAGAAAACATTTAAAAACAGACACTTACGTGAAACTCCCACCGTCAAGTTCATGTGGTTGTAATATACCATCTCGTGCTTTCTGCACTAACTGTTGTGACAACTTCGAAATATCAGAAACGATAAGTGAGTCTGCAGAATGCAAAATGGGCGTAAGTAACCCTGATCTAGTTGTTACTGCCATACTTAAATCGACTGATCTCAGATAAATGGGAGACTCGGCTTGAGAATCATAAATGGCGTTTAAATCTGGAACAAGCTTAACAAAGGCAGAAAACGATGCGTTTTCATAACTATGACCATAGGATGCTTATCATAAATAAAAAAGTGGATAGATAGCTGCAGAACTGTATCTGAATGTTGTTTACTCAACATGTTAAAACTAGTTAAACGCTTTTTTCAAAAACTTGTAGATGGATTCAATAGGTTATCTATTTATGCATCACCTAAAAACAGTAGTTTGTCGACATGCCTGATTACGAATTAGTAATGTAGCAAACTTTAGCGGGATCTTGTTATGCAATATAGTCCAAAAAACTAAATCTTATGCACAGCACACCTGTCTGTAGGATTCCTAACCTCACCTTCTGCCTTCAGTGGACATATAAAACATGCCACAATAAAAAAGATATAAACTAACTGATGGGTTGAAAATGAAATCGAATTATAAATAATTGCAAATCCTAAATTACTTTGCCACCTAATACTTTTTTCCTAGAAATATACTTAAAGCACTTAAGACCATATTCAATCGAATTGTAAGGAAATCTACCTTTTCTTCAAACAACTTTTAGAATTAGATAATTACCTATCTTATATTAACCAAAAGATTGTGTGATAACAATAACAAATTCAAGTATGTCACTGAGATAAAATACCTAGTTCGATATCGTCAGATACGGTATTCACATTGGAAAAATGTTCTATTTTGAATCCTGTTAGATTTTGACTGGAACTGTCAAGGACCAGGTAATCACGGATAACTCAACGATAAAATTTCTTATCTGAATAATAAGTCTGAAAAACGAAACATAGCTCTCACTATGGTGCTATACTGGGTGATGGAAGTGAACAGCTTTGTCTTCTAGTTTGACACTGCTTTCTGGAAATACGAGTAAATGATATAAAAAGTCTAAGATCTATTCAAAAGTCAATATAATCAATGAATGAAACCACATATATCTAGGTATTTCATACTGTTTGGCACCCATGAGGAAAAATATATTTCTCTTAAATAGTCGCAGGCTTACAACACACGGGAAAAAAAGTAAGCTTATGACTAACAATTTTGTATCTAGCATTGCAGTGATGTACTTTTGCAAGGAATAGGGCCTTGTTGGTGATGTTTTCTTTTCCAGTTTAGACTTCGTGAGTAACAAATCCATGGATGTAAATTCTCATTTTAGAATATAAGGTCAGTCAGTCAGTTACAACGTAGAACTTCGTACGTACGTACATCAGTTCGAGTTGCCATACCACATTAGCACAGAGATGCAGTTGTCGATTCAAATCCCATAGTGGTAGAAGTAGTAGGAGTATAATCAGAAATCCAAAAGATTAGGGTTTGAAGAAATTATTGAAGGAGTATAGTACAGTGAAATAAATCTGGAAAGAGAAAAAGATAAAGACATGAGGAATTCAGAAGATTAGAATTTGGTAGAACACAAAGAGTGGATGCATCTTCGCCATTGCAAACGATTTTGAGCCATGTCATTCAAGGTCTCTAACCATCGGTTGCTGTCATCTCGCGAATCCCAACCAGGTAGTCTACACCTACCAACATGGCCCAGTCCACTTGTCAGTGACTTCATTGATTTGTCCCACGTTTTGGTCTGGCCACCCCTAGCTTTCTTCCAACCTACTCCTACACCATGAAACATTGCACGTCGAAGCAGTCGGTGGTCGGGCATACGTAACACATGTCCCAGCCATCTCAACTGATGAAGTTTCACTACTTCATCAATCGATTTGCCATCCCTACCTAGTACTCGTTTCCTAACAACTGCATTACTTACCCGGTGGTCCCAGGATATACGAGCAATGCTTCGAAGACACCTATGACCGAACACTAGTAGCCTACGAATATCCTCTACTCTTATTGGCCATGTTTCACTGCCATAAAGTAGGACGGAGCGAACTGCTGCACAGTAAACCCGTCCTTTGGTTGCTAGACGGATATCTCGCCTACGCCATAAATGACGCAAGTTGGCGAAAGCTAGACGAGCCTTCTGTATCCGTGCTGAGATTTCGTCACATACCAGACCACAAGGGCTGATGAGACTCCCAAGATAAGTGAAGCTAACAACACGCTCAACTACTTCACTCCCTATCATTAGTTCAGGTGTCGCTGCAACCCAATCCTGAAGTAACATTTTGCACTTCGAGGGAGAGAATCGCATCCCGAACATGCCTGCATAGATGCTTATAGTGGTCAGAAGACTCTGCATGTTGTCAGCGTCTTCACCGAGTAAAACTATGTCGTCGGCGTATTCTAAGTCAACAAGTGAGCCTCCTGGTAAAAGTTTAACTCCTGGAGGTTTAGCTGATGAAAGTGCTATCTCTAAAAGTATGTCAATGACAAAGTTAAACAAGAATGGGGAGAGTGGACAGCCCTGACGAACGCCACTTGTGGTAATCAGTTCTGATGACAGTTCGCCATAGGCTCTAACTCGACCAGTTGTGTTCGAGTAGAGAGCCTTTATGAGGTTAATGTACTTCTTTGGTACTCCTTTCACTGACAAACATTGCCATAGAACCTCACGATCAACGGAGTCAAATGCCGCCTTAAGGTCAAGAAACACTACTATTGTGGGACGTCTGAATTTGTGTCTATGTTCTAGGACCTGACGTAGGGTGAATATCTGGTCTATTCAACCACGTCCAGGTCGAAAACCAGTCTGGTTTTCTCTAGTCTGCTATTCACGAGCTTTGGTTAGGCGACCTAGTATTATTGAAGCTAATATTTTAGACACTATATTAGTCAAACTGATCCCTCTGTGATTGTCACAAGAGGACTTTTGTCCTTTCTTATAGACTGGCACAATCAGTGATTGGGACCAGTCAGATGAAATTACGTCCAGTTCCCCGATTCTACCGAAGACCTCAGTCAATCTCACTGCTAGTACTGGACCACCATCCTTAAAAACCTCAGGGGTCAACCTGTCAGGGCCTGCTGCTCTCCCTCGCTTCAGATTTCCTATAGCTTTTTCAACCTCACAGAGGGTTGGAGGACTTACATCAATTTGCCATTCAGGACGACTGGGGATCGTGGGTAATTGAAGTGTGGCTGAAGGCCAGTTGAACTGATCCCTAAAGTGTTCTGCCCATCGATCCAATCTCCTGGATTGAGAATGAATAATATGCCCATCTTTATCTGAGATGGTTTCACTGATATTCGGGATCCTAATACCGGTTTCTTTAACGAGTCTGAATAGCTGCCTACTGTTACCTATTGCCGCTGCCTTTTCCATCTCTTGCTTTCGCTACCCACCACTGTTCACGATCATTACGTAGGCTTCTTATAAGCCTGCGATTAAGTTGACTCCGCTCTTCGTTATGCTCAGAGCCAGGTGGGATGAGTTTACGAGCATCTATCAGTGCGGTAGATGCTGCCGAGATCCATTGTTTCTCCCTAACGTTATGGTTTACCTTACTAGCGGATATCACTGCTGTTTCCACAGCTTTTCGGATGTCATTCCACGCTGCCTCGGGGTGGACACAACTTACATGGCTGCCTAACTGTTTTTCTAGTTGTTCCTGAAATATATTCTTAGCTTGCCTATCATTAAGTAGAACCCTTAGGGGCTTCCCTGCAGTGTCTTTCCTACGACCAGTAAGACGCAGACAGATGCGTGCTCGCACTAGAGCATGATCTGAATCTAAACATGTGCCCCAGAATGAGCGACAGTCTTCTATCGAGCCCCTCCATCGGTGGCTGATAGCGATGTGATCTAATTGGGTCCAACGTTGGGACGAATTCGGGGGTCGCCATGTCAAAAGATGTTTTTCCTTATGCTTAAAGTTAGTATTTTCAAGAAATAGGCGGTTATCTGAGCATAGCTGCAACAGACGGTCGCCATTATCTGTTCTTTTCGCCATGACACCATAAGATCCACCCAGGTGTCTTTCCCTTTCACTTAGTTTACCTACTTGAGCATTAAAGTCACCTGCTACTATTACTACATCAGAACGCCTAGCTTCTCGGAGAAGGTCAGAAAGTTTCCTGTAGAACTCATCTTTTATATCGTCTGAGCTGCAGTCAGTGGGAGAGTAGGCAGAGACGACGAAGAGGCAACGACGAGTTTCCCTATCTTTCCGGGTCCTTAGTGATCCGTTTAGTCGGACAGCGCATAGACGACTGTCTACTGGGATCCAGTCTAAAAGAGTTAGTTCTGCCCTAGGACTTAATGCTATACCTACTCCAGCGAGGCCACGGGAAGCAGCATCAGGGCTTCCAGATACACGAAGCGTGTATCGAGATGAAACTTTATTTTGATTAGGTGCGGTCAAATGAATGACACTACTCGGATCTTGTATGCGCGTTTCGGAGACGCAGCACACATCGATGGTGTAAGATTCTAGAGTCCTAGCTAAGGAAGCCTGTTGTCCTATTTGGCACAATGTTCGGACATTAAAAGTTCCTATATGTAGTTTAGAGTGTGGTTTCAGGAGACCAGGAATAACGTTCTGTGTACTCGAATCGTTTGCCCTAGCGGTGCGAGGTGATAAAAGGACGTGGGAAGGGTTAGTCGTGGAGATAACAGAGTTATTAGGTGTAGGAAGGATTTGAAAGCGACTAACTTGGTCTTGTGTACAGTTAAGGGTATGAGGGCTAGTATCACTTCCCGGCTGCCCACACCGTGGAAGAGAATATAAGGTAAGAAAAAAAGTAATATGGCTTACATATTCGACAGCTGGTCGGCTTTGGTTTGCGAGCCATATATTAATGTATTCGATACCAATCAGAAAAACAAACTTACCCTTAAGCCTAAAGCACAAGCTTTGACAATGAAATCGTTTATAGAAAAATTTATATCCGAATTCACTTTCAGTTCTGTTATCAATTCATTTAAACGATCTATGCGAGCAGTTGCGCGAATATATTCATGTGGGATAGACAATTTTGATTCTGACAAACGTTGGGCGAAAGAATTCCTCATATTCAATGACGTGATATCTGTGAAATTGGCTGCTGACGAGACAGTTTGTATAGCGGGAATATCATTAATTGATTTTTCTTGACTAGATACAACAGGTTTAATTTCGTTGTTAGCTATGTATGCTAAAACATCCCTAGGATGAAGATAACCAAGTAAATTGAATACACAAAACATAAAATATAACCTTATCGATGTTGAATAATTAGTTTAAGATTTCGATTTTACTATTACCAGTAACTTCAAGTATGAAAGAGTCGAATTCTTTAATTTCTTGGAAAGAAATAACCTAAAGACAGATATGAAGCAATCTTAATCTCAAGGTTTAAGGGAAGACAGAGAGTGTATAAACCTACGCCACTGTGATCGATTCTGAGCCATGTCACCCAGAGTCTCCAACTATTGGTTACGATAGTCACGCGGACCTCAACCAAGTTGTCTGCGTCTACCAACAGGCGACGACGTGTGTCTCTATCCTTCCAAGTTCTTACAGAGCCATTTAGCCGAACAGTACGTTAGCAACTGTTAACAGAGATCGATTCTAGAAGTACCTGTTCTGCCCTCGTACTATGCCTACACCCGCCTGTCCACGAGAACTAGCCATCGGGTCGCCACATACACAGAGGGTTTATCTCGTTGACTGTCCATTTTGGCAACGTGAGGTCAAGTGATTGACCACACTAGGATCCTGTATGTGTGTTTCGTAGACTCAGCATACATCAATTGTACGAGATTCTAGGGTCTTAGCCAAGAAGGCCTGTTGACCAATTTGACATAGGGTACGTACGTTGAAGGCTGCAATGCGTAGTTTGGAGCGATGTTTTTGTAGACCTAGGACAGTGATTCGCGCACTAGTTTATTTATTTATTTAAACACATACATATTGGTACAAATGGGCACCAGATACATATACGCCACACAAAACAGTGAGAATGGGAACAGAAAGGGGGAAGATGCGTGTAAATAAAAGAAAAAAATAGGATGAAAAACATGGGTAATGATGGGGGAACTGAAATGTAAAACCATAAGACTCTTTCAGTTAAGAAAGTTATAACCACTCTTTAAAAGGTTACAGCATGATCACCACTCGCTTCTATTCTGAGCCATATTTGATAACGTCTCTAGCCACTGTGTTGCACCATCTCTCGGACCCCGACGAGGGAGTTGTGAAGGATCAACAGAAGCTAGTGTTGTATCCCGAAGAGAATTGTTAATGGTAACTTTTGAGGACTATTTATTGGCCAATGTAATATGTATATCTTTTATTGTCACTAACCTAATCATATCCGTTTCCTCTTATCATTAGCTTTATTTTGACCTTTGAACTATTATTGTACAATTCTTGATTTATCATCAGTTTATTGATTACTATTCACAGCCACATTTGGCTAAATATTGTACAAATGTTATTTTTTATTTTATAGTACGATGTCGTCTGTTTGGTTGGTATATAAACCCAGTATGTTTGTGAATAATGATTCATACCACAGAGGCTGTTATTGGTGTTTTGGACTTAACTGGCTGGGCTAGGCAGAGGCAAGACCGGTTAACGCTCTAGACTGCTCGTACGGTTTCGTGCATCACTGTTCCAGTCGATAATTCGTTGCCCTCTGATTGCCGGTCTCATCAAGTCACACATTAACTAGACATCCACTCGGCCACAAGATATAACAGCTAGTCCTGAACAGCCTTCTTTGATACACGACATCATGTCATACACTGACCACCTCTCCGCTTTTTCCAACCAGTCCCAGCGTCTACAAATAATGCACGACGTGGAATTCTCTGGGACGACATTCGTAAAACATGTCCAAGCCACCGAAGTCGGTGTTTCAGAATGATATCAATCGGATTATCGTCTCTGAGCCCGAACACACGATGCCGAACCTCTACATTACTAACATGGTGTTGCCAATGGATGTCAGCAATCCTTCGGAGACAAAGATGATCGAACACAGAGAGACGTCTAACATCCTCAACTCGGAGAGGCCAGGTTTCACAAGCATAGAGCAGAACTGCTCTCACCGACGCGTTGTAGATCCGACCTTTTGCAGCCAGACTAACATCACGAAGGTGCCAAAGATGGCCCAGATTAGTATAAGCCGCTCTGGCTTTCCTTATACGTGCATCGATCTCATAACTCACGCCACCACCTGCACTTATGCACCTACCTAGATACACGAACCTCTCAACTACTTCAATCTGCTCACCATCCAGGGTGAGTACAGGATCAGAATCTTGCCAGTCTTGTAGGAGTTCTTTGCACTTGGAGGGTGCAAAGCACATATCCTACCTGCGGAAACTGATCGCCAACTGATTAAGTGCGGATTGCATTGTTTGGGCATAATCGCACAGTAAGACAATATCATCCGCATACTGAAGGTTGAGAAGTCTTTCTCCAGGCAACAGATCCACACCGCCATTACTTACATCTATCAGAGCTGTTTCCAGAATATCATCGATAGCAAAGTTGAGGAGGAAAGTTGAGATTGAAGAACCCTGTCTAACCCCACTGCTTGAATGGAACAATGGAGAAATGTTTGTATATAGGGCCTTTAAGATGTTGATAAACTTCAGGAACACCCTTCTTCAATAGACAATCTCAGAGAACAGTCCTGTCCAACGAATCGAAGGTAGCCCTGATGTCAAGAAACACTACGATTGTTGGCCTGTGATAAGTATAGCGGTGTCCTAACATTTGACGGAGGGTGAAGATATGATCAATGCATCCTCGACCAGAACGAAAACTCTGTTCCTCGCGAGTCAATCTTTCTCATGTTTTCAACAATCTACGTAGTATGACAAAAGCCAATAGTTTGGACGCAATCGGAGGTAGACTTATCCCCCGATAGTTGTTACAGGAACAACGTGAACCCTTTTTAAAGATAGGAACTATCGACTCACTCCATGATGTTGGAACACTTTCTTGCTCCCAAACCTTTGTAAACAGCACAGTCAATTCCTTAGTCAGAAAGTCACCACCATCTTTAAAAAGAGCCGGAGGTAAGTCATCTGGGCCCGGTAATTTGTAGCGTTTCAAGAGCTGGAGTTCTTTGCGGACTTTCGCCTCGTTTGGTGGATCAGTCGTCACCAGCCATGGGGGCAGGACAATCTGGTCGATGTCGCCGAAGCAGCAGGCCAGTTGAACTGCCCTTCAAAGAATTCCACCCCTCGTCCAAGACGTCGACAGATGTTAGTTATTAGCATTCCGTCATCCTCACAGATTGTTTCGCTCACACCAGACTTCTCGCTGCCAGTGGCTTAGATGAGTTGGAAGAGCTTCCGGCAGTTACCAGGTGCAGCTGCTGCTTCCATCTTATTGGCACGCTCCGACCACCAGGCTTCTCGGTCCTTACACGCAAGCTTTGCCCAATTTCATTACGTAACAGCCTTCGTTTGTGGTCAAACTCACAGTCACCACGGAGTAGACCGACGGGCTTCGATCAGTTGTAAGGAGCCAGAAGAAACCCAGTGCTCATAAGCGGGACGTTTCGCGAAGCCGCAAGCGACTTTCCTCGCCATTTCCATGGCGTCATGCAGCTGCAATCAATGCTCATCTATACTTTTTGGTGGGATGGTAGTTAGCCTAGAAGCTAGCTCGGTTCGATACTTACTTGCAACAGAAGTTGCAGCCAGTTTAGTAACATCAATCCGTTGGTGGCGGTCAATTCTTCGGCGACTGAAAAGTAAGGCAAGATTGGCGCAGACCAGGGTATGATCAGACTGCAGATAGGTACTCCAAAAGGAGCGGCAGTCTTGAACACAACCACGCCAGTGGTAGTTGATCGCGATGTGATTAATCTGAGTCCAGGCTTGAGATGCACAGGAGCGTGAATAAAACTGTCAGTAGAAACCATCATTTCATTTGTTTGTGTGAAGGCTGTGATACTGCCTAGGTGCCTAAACTGAAGCATGTGGTTTTATTAGGGGGGCACACCCGGAGCCTTTGACCTAAAGGTCTAACTCACAAGGCAGTGGAGCATCGTGAGGAGATGCAGTCCCATGGTAGCTGGTGACCAACAATTGGTTCATACGCCATTTGATTCCTCAAGATACTGGAACCCATGTGCACCACTGGTTTGGAGTCAGGGTTTTCCGACTCCCCTAGGTGGACTTTCAGTGTCCAACGACCCGGTTAAAGCGCCGGACATTCGCTTTTTGTCCTCTCACTTTCGTGAACAACACCCTCGCCACGAGAAGGCAGTGAGTAGGACATCCCTGGCAGAGGCTATATACGCGTGGCCATGTGAGAGCATTTCGAGAGGGAGAGCGGACTCTCCCTACTCTCGGCCGTACCAGGGCATTTGGGGGTTTAAAGGGAATGAATAAAAACATAATTAAAAAGCTATATGCCTCATATATTCCATGTTACCGACCAAGAAGTTACAACCCCCAGTCCTTGTGCACAGTCGACAATCTGATATGCCAATCCGATATCTAGCTATATAAGTTGATAAAAAAATTTCAGACATTTAATAACTAATGGAACCTTTGACCAACTGGTTGTAAGCCAAATAGTTTAGTCAATATGCTACGAACCAAAATCGTCAATTTGATGACTCAGGAATAAGGTCATTTGTAATTGCAGACTACCAGTATATGTTATGAATAACCAAATAGAAATATGATATATTAACACAACTATAAATCCTCTTACAACCCCCGTGCTATATTTAGGGCCCTAAGAACGAGAGTTTAGTAAGTGGAGAAGAGCAGTAGTTAAGTGGTTGGCCACTTGTTTGCAGGCTCAAAAACCTGCCACATTCTTCCGTTTAAGAAATACTGAATAAGTAATTGTGGGTTTCGCGAAACCAGTTCAACTTACCCTTTAAGCAATTGACCATGTGGCCCTGTAGAAATTATTTGAGATCCATCGATATCGTGTGACTGTAACAGAAGACGAACCGCAGGTCCCATGGAACAAAGGCGGTATGACTGTGGTTCTTGAATGGTGTGATTTATTCCTGACTGCTTTGGAATACTGTCCGCTGTAGATGGCTGGGATAGTGATGCGGCGGAAGCAGCCACCTCTTGCCAATGCTCGTCTGGAGTGGCTAACACAGCAATCAAACTACCGACTTTGATATTTGATGAGCCGGTGGGTGCCTATAAGGCATTAAATTGTGGGGTGACATTTTTAATTACAGAGAATCAAGTGATCAATAGAACATTTTGTACGAGCGTAAGGTTTCACCGAATAAATCAAAACATAGTGAACTTATCAGAATTGTATTTGAATGTTGGGATTACTATATGTTCCTCAACCTGGATATTCGAAACAATAAATACATCACCTATTTTCTTCAAAGAATGAGGTTAGTACATTTACTATTTAAAGTAGAAAACGTTTGACAAGATGAAGACATCAGAAAATTTTATTTACAACAGAAGGGGTAGACAGAAAAAATACTAGTTGGATCAACTATGCAATGTAATGGATACGATAAGACGTTTTTGGAAACAAAGAAGCTCTTCACCATGCATCTTGTGAGGGTTTAAATAAAAATGTATTATTGTTCAGCAGGATGGATGTATGTCTGTTTCATGTGAAAAATTCTGGTAGATATACACTTAACCGCAACGCCTTCAAAGTATCGGATGCGTACTGGTGTCGACACCAACTCCGAGATTAGTCGTGTGGATAAGTAAAATGACGAAAAAAAACCTGAGCAACTGAGATTGCAAATGACCTACTACTCAACAAGACTCAGACGGAATCCCAGTTGTTTTACTCTACCATTAAAGTAGTAATCCACAAAGGCGATTAACACTCCTATATTTTAAGAGGATCTGATAGGATAACTTACGGAAATACTAATTTTACACTTGTATCAACATACAACTTGCAAGCAAGGGCTTCCTGGTCAAATGACGTTCACTATCTTGCATTTCTTTACCTTGCGACTGAGAAGATTCTAATTTAAACAGACTGAACAAAACAATCTTATGAGAATCAAACTCTGTGTAGTATGGCAAGCAAAGGAGAAGTGGCGGATAGTAGAGTGGTTTCATCAACCATGTGGATAATTGGGTTACTATAGTGATATTACTCTCCCATGGGAAAAACATTGTAAAATGTAAATGTAAAACGACTTTCAGGAGAGATCTTGTAAATTAGACTTGATTTTCGCTTTGTTTGGTGGTTGAACATCACTACGAAATCGCTTAGCATGAAAAATTACCAGCTGAATGAAACTCAGGAAAAATCTAACATTAAGTTTGAAAGTACGTATCACAAAAAATGGACGTTTAGTCTACACAAGAAGTCTGAGATATAAAACTGGAACTGTCCAGAGATAAACAAGTAGAACTGTGATCAACGGAACACCGTGAATGAAAAAAGTTAGTGTGCAAATAACGAATAATGCAAAACAACACACCAATATTTTGGCAAGTACACCTTCCTCGTCTGACTCAAATGCAATAACCGCTTTGTCCGTCTGAACTTCGCAGAGGACATCTCCAGCAGCTACATCCTCTCCTTGTCAAAATAGTTTATATTGCTAAAGAACTATTAAGTACCTTCATTCTTAACCCAGTTGACGATTGAGCCCTCAGACATGGTTGGGGACAAAGATGGCATTTTGATATGAACAGGGACTAAATCTGTGAGACTTAGAAATCGATCTTACATTGTATTTTTCTTGAAGTATGGACGAAATGTCGCAAACATTGTAATCTTAAGAGACATAAGCGGGCGGACATCACCTCTCGTTTTCAGCGCGGTTTCATTGTCCGATATTTTTGGAGGGCTTGTTTAGTCTTCAGTCTTCAGTAATAAGGATAGGAGGTCTAGTGACCTATTTTAATCCTTGCAGTTTGTTACACTGTGGAGGTCCAATCTCGTCTTGAATATATCAACAGAAGGTGCTGATATTACGTGTTCTGGTAGAGAATTCCAGTAATTCACTACTCGGTGCGAGAAACGAAACTCCAGACGTAGACGATTTGATCTCGGTTTTTGGACTTTCTTTGAATGTCCTCTCAAATGCTCAGCCCTAGACGGGAGGAAAAGATAGGACATGTTAGTACCAAGGTCATCGTTCAGGATACGATATGCCAATATTAGATCACCCCGTATTCGCTGGTAAGATAACGGAAATAAGTTGAGGTGTCTCAGTCTGTCTTCATAAGATAGGCTAGATAAGCCTTTTACCATTTTTGTCCCGCGGCGTTGGACTCGTTCCAACATATCCGCCTCATATTTGAAACAAGGACTCGCTGCTTGAATCCCATATTCCAAATGTGGCCGTACGAAAGTTGGGTATAATAATCTAAACATTTCCCCATCCAGATACCGGAAAGATCTACGAATAGACCATAATGCCCTATAGCCTTTTGCAGCAGCAGCCTTACAGTGACTGGTTGTTTTGAGATCATTACTTAGTATGACTCCAAAATCTTTATAGTTTCTTACATTGGGCAACACTAGTCCACATATTGTGTAGTGATACGAATCATCGTAGTTATTTAATTGCATCACAACACTTTTATTAGAGTTTACTTCTAGTGACCACCCATTCATCCATGCAACTAGTGAGTTAAGATCTTCCTGTAAAACTATTCTGTCTGACATACTATATATGGGTCTCCAAATCTTAATGTCATCGGCGAATAGTAGGACGGATGACTTAGCTATAGCTGGTAATTCATTTATATAAAGTAAAAAGAGAAGAGGACCTAAAATCGTGCCTTGGGGGACGCCACTTTTTACTGGTTCCCACGATGAGAGAGCCCCATTTACTCTTACCCGTTGTCTCCTTTCATGAAGAAAGTCACTTAGCCAGTCTATGACTGCATAATGAATTCCAAAACTTTCTAGTTTCAATTTAAGACCAGAATGGGGAACCTTATCAAAGGCTTTACTTAGATCTATGAAAATGACATCTACAGGAATATTGCGATCTTTTGCCTCAGCCCAATCTTCTCTTGCAATGAGAAGATTTGTAAAACATGATAGACCTTTTCGAAAACCATGTTGTTCCTTTGACAAAAGATCATGTCTTTCCACGTAGTTTATAACAGCCATCCTAATAATTTTTTCCATTAGTTTTACAACTGCACTAGTTAAGCTGACGGGTCGATAGTTACTAACTAAATCCCTACCCCCAGTCTTATACACTGGACTGATTATTGCGTCCTTCCAGTCTCTGGGCAGTCTCTGGGCAACCGACTAATTTGTGCTCGCTTCTTCATCTCCTGATACTACCCCAAGTCCTTGGTAATATCTAATGAGTGGCAGTCAAGACTCTCAACTGTAATAGCATCAATCAGTTTAGTATTTATTTTTGGTTTGTGCATCATGTAATCTAACAGTGGTATTTTGTGGAGTCCTAGGATGTGTTCTGATTTAGACTTCTGTGTAGTGTATGTGTCGCGTATAGTGACCAATTTACCGTGAAAAAGAATGTGTCAAGTTGAACTATTACCTTTATACTGCCTACGTTTAAGTTTGATTTAATCCAATTTAGTCAGACTACATATGTACTGAAGAAACGACTAGTCTTGTAGTTTTGGCAACAAGCAACCAGTAACACCTTCTATATTCAAAGCTTTCTCCAACCGAATGAAATCAGAAGTCAGATGCGAAGAGATCGGAAAGATATATTTGATACGTTATAAATATATCGAGAAGCGTTTACTCTAATCTGGCTAGTGAACGTAGGAGCTGTGTCCCACGCTGGATCGTAACGTGATCTGGTACGGATGCATGACCGAAAGCCTTCAGTTAAACAAGTCCACTTAAAACAATGTGGTCAGCATCAAATGTTGAACACTTAATGAGCTATTGATTTTGGAGATTTATTTACAGCTATAGTACAACCACAGTTTGAGATGATTATTTCTAAATAGGTTAGTTTTTGGTTTCTTGAATTTCAGAGCAACAAATTCGGGAATTTATACGCCGGATAATCGTGGGTAACCAACCTTCACATTAAGCCTTTATCGACCGAAACCACCCAGCTACTACTCTTCACAATAGAACTAGTAAACCTAGATACCTTGTTTAGAAATGACATTCCCCCTGCAAATGGTTAAAGCTCTTCTGTCCAACCACCTATACCCCTATACTTTTTCGTCGATACACAAAGATAAGAATATGTTGCGACATTTATCATTACACCTTGCTTTCAGGCATATACTTAGGTTTAAGTTTGACATCACTAGTTACAGCTGATTTTTGGTTCGGCGTACCGCTTTTAACGGTTAGTAGGACGTATTGTTGTTCTGCAATGAAGTCGGGTGGATAGAACTAATTCGAAATAGGTTTTTTTGACGGTAGCCTGTCGTCACTAATCTCTGTTTATGGAGGTGCCGCACCCTTAGAGTGTTTGCAGCATGTAGATATTCGTAGACAAACTTCATGTACATATATCTGGATTCCTGAGTTTGCTCAAGTGTTTGTTGAATATATGATGCGTAGTCACAGTTCAAAGTGTAGCGACAATAAGAAACAACTAGATATGTAGTCTATTTCAGTATCAAATTATTATTTGTAAGTAGTCAATCAAACAGGTTATTATATCTAGCTGTAATACAAAAGCTCGAGGACTTCTTGATATAATCTTTACTGGCATCGTCTATCATTACCAGCTCCATAAATGAGTTCAGCCAGACCATCTAGATCATATAAAGATAAATTAGATACTGATCTGAAGACCCATATTCTTCAAATTTAACTCACTAATTTCTGGTAAACAACGTCAATTTAGATGATACAAACTAGCATACCTAATATGCAGTTAGTTTAGCTGTATTAAAAAAATGCTATTTAATTGAGTGACAAAGTGAAAGTGAATAGTTTTTTCAACTAAGTATAGGTATCCGCTGGTGGAAACAGAATAATTAGGTCCTTTCGCTATAATACGCGTAAACAGTTAAGTGCAAAGTAGTTCGGCCATACTGAATTTAATCTTAAGAAGTAATACCAGAATTGGTAAACTGATCTTGGAAACATCTGTTTCAAAAACAGCAAATCAATTAACATCTTTCACGTGTTACTATTGAACCATTTAATACAGTACGTCGGTTTGTCTACGTAAAAGAAATTAAAAGGTCAGTAGTGAAGCATATGTTGCTAAGAAACCTTAAACTAGACATATTGATATTTAACACAGTGATATTACATTTTAGGAGGTACCAAACAAAATACACTCCAACATGGCATAATACAAAACCCACCAAAATTGCCAAATTTTTATGACAATCACGATCTTTGATAGGTGTATAATTAAGTTTGATGGATACTATATTGTGAGTTGGGAATTGTGGCAAAAAGTCTACTTCCTAATTCTTTCACCTAATAAACACATGATACACTCTTACAGAAGTTTTCGTTTCTGTGTAAGTTGGTCCTTACTTAACAACATGTGTGCTGTTGACTGTATTATTGAGCCGTTGTTTTAAATTCTTCACATTATGCAAACTGAAGTGGTTAAAACTTACTTTATATTTTTCGTGATGATTCCATGCCACATACTGTAGACAATATGATTGAACTGAGAATAATATTCGTTGTTGATGTAAATAAACTGATAACAGACGTAATAAGATATGGATTTATTGACTGTAATCGCTTTACATACTTAAAAATTTTGTGATTGTCCTTCTATATAGCGCAACAATCTGGTTTTTGGCTTCTGTGTAAAGTATGTTGACAAACTTAAAGACAGATAAGAGCATGCAAAGCAATGCAAGATAATGAATCTATGATCTATTACAAGTATTTTTATCCCATTCTCCACGCTTTTGATCGATTGGGTGTGTGTAGATAGGACCATAAAGCCTATTTTGTAAATAATTTTTCATAGTTTTCGCATGTATTTTGTGTATTTTTCAGATTCTGTACATTCAGCATTAAACAATTGTGCTTGTTGTTTAAGTGTATTACTTTGAACACTTGCAATTTGACTTCCTTCCGTTTTGAGTGCAACATATCGTGGCACTGTTACTGCTCCTCATTAAATACACTCTAATTCACATCTGCATCGTTCTGCTATACCTGCAAATATGTTAAATGAAATATTCATTGCATATCATCTATATTTATAGACAATTGTGACATTCTTATTGAATTCTACGCTTGGTAAACCTACTGAATCCATATCGTCCATATTGGAATTATTAATCTTTTATAATTGTGGATTATTTGGACCAAACTCAGTCGAACACGCAATAGCCCGAAGACTTAAGTAATGTCTCTTATTTTTATCTATGTGTAATTAACTTATTAACTGTTAATTCATACATAAACTTTAGGCGTAATATTTTTGTTGCTATTTTTTTGGTTATCATACTTTTGGTCCACTACAGATGTTATTTATAGCTTATTTAACTACATATGTGAATAGTTGGGTAGCTGAAAAAGATTCTATAACAAACTGAATATCAGTATCAAAAGAATGTGAAAATTGTTAGAAATGCACCTTTGTATGGGCCACAGAAGAACCTAGTATCTTCGTGCTTTCAATGCTACATACTCATTTATATTACTAACTTGGGTCTGTTACCCCTTCCTAGCTTCCAGCTGAGGAGGAAATTAGGAAAAGACGTTTGAGGTGGTCCGGACATACACTACGGAAATCAAGAATCGGCAGCACGAGGCAAGCGCTAACCTGTAATAGTGAAGGAAAGCGGAAAACTGGAAGGCCAAAGAACACACTACACCGGCGAATAGAAGAAGGTCCTTAAGAATAAGTCAAGTTTCCTCTTAAAGGAC